CCCCCCCCCCCCCCCCCCCTCTGTTGCCACTGTGTGCTGTATGTTGTCAGTAAATAAAGGAACCGAGCAGTTTTGACTTTCCAAAATTCAGAAAGCGCAGACCGTACAAGGGCAGAATAATTCTATTATGTGTGTGGAAGCTAAAGCTTAACAAAATAAACCGTGGACGGTATTTAAAATCCTCATGGATCTGGAACTTGGCAACCTTCAATGCAGACTGAATCTGAAGTGGTATTTGAGGCCACTGATTTCATCATTGATATTTCAACCCCTCACTCATATTAGCCATTGACCCACTGATTGGAACACTTGCATAACAAGTTAATTGAGATCTGTACTGGACAGACTGGAGCTAATGTGTGAGCAGCAGATACTGAGTGGGGCCATCTGTTACGGTAGGGGGGGCTGGTGGTATTGAATGGAGGCTTTCTGATCAGCTGACAGAACATGGGAGGGTCCCCCTGCTGTCATCCGCAGTGGACCGGCCTCAGCAGTCTTAAAGGTCAGGCCCCTAAAATTAACAGACAACTGAATGTACAAGTGACAGAGCTGCAGGACACCCAGCTCAAAACCACAGCCTCTACGTCTTCATTTGTAGTTTTTAATCTGAGGAAATGCTGAGACTGATCCCTGATCCTGGATGTATTGTGTGAAGACAGATGTGCCTGTGCTTACTTTCCTCTGTCGGGAGAGGGAGGGCATTGGAAAGGGGGGGGGAGACGTGCAGCCTGAGCCAATCGCTGATGCATCCTTTGTAGACTGGTCGTCCTTTTACAGGCTGCTGGCATGCGGTGCTATATTAAAGAGACGCCTCCCACAGCTGCACCTGACAGTTCACAGCACTGACTCGGCTGAGAGGGGGGGGGGGGGGGAAGGCGCTCCGGTCCCAGTTGCTCTTTGCATCACTTGCGGGAGCGACATTTCTCAACTGAAGCTTCTTTTCATGAAGCGTATGAGCTGAAACAGAGTACACTGCTCCCTGCTGGCACGGGGCTCCGTGGATTTTTTTCTTGCTGTGGTTGTCATTTTCTGATCCAAGTAAAAGTGTAATGCTGTACTTAATGCCAACATTAGTTTATTCTCCTGCAGAAGAATCCTGAGGACAATTTTATACGTTCTTCATCTGTCGATTTGAAGGTGACCAGTCTCCTCCGTTTTTCATAGGAAGGACCGTCTCTATCTTCTAAAGACAAAAACTGCTTCAAAAGACAAATCGTCCTCTGGATCTGTGGACGTCAGTTGGACGCACTTTTCAATTATAATTTCTGTACAACTTGCTTCATCTAGCAAATGGAGTGACTCTCCCTTGGGACAGTTTCGAGCCAAATCTCTGCACCCCATATGGCGATGCGGATGGTCATGGTCAAATTTAGTCTTGAACCCACAACCCACCGCGCTTCATGAAGAGGTTTGGCAGCCTGAGGAGGAGCAAGAAACGGAAGGAGCAAGACGGGCTAGGAGGGCGGCATCAGTCCGAGTCGTCATGTCTGTCTGGTAACGTGCTGTGCTCTGTAGTCGGGTACCTATGGATCCAGATATTTATATAAAGCTCATCACTATGGCCTTAGGTTCTCCATATAGTTTCGGTGCTGATTACGTGGTCTCTGGTTTCACAAACGCATGCAGGACGTCCGCACAAAGTGGCAGGACACCAAAGTGGTGAAGCTACGACCTGAGGCTAGAGGTTTGCTAAACGCTGCACACACTGCGTGATTCTGTATGCATTGTGCCTGATTAATAGTTCTCCTTATAATGTTAACGTTAAAGCAGTGACAGAAATAAGTGAAATGTGTTTTGTGGTCATCATGGTAAAGTCATTTATAGCCACTCCTATCTGATACAGTATCAGTTTATTATTTCTGTCTCATATCCTAAGGGTGTCTCTTCAGAATAGCTGCTCCATTTAAAAAAAAAAAAAAAAAAACTTTATTTAAATCGACAGAAAGCATTTCAGCTGATGTAGGGATAGTCAGAAGGTGCCAAGTTGAGTTTTCGGGGCTTTTTCCAATGTGTTAGGACTCTTTCCCTGTTTGCAATATTCCCTCAGGTTCTCATGAGAAAAGCAGGCCAACAGTGACAGAATATGGAGGCCAAACAAAAAGCACAGAGCTCCATGCAGACTTAAGGCATCTATTGTAAAGTGTTAGCTCATAATGCTCGATGTGTGAAGCACTGGGGGATGCTGTGAGGCGTTCAAGTGGCCCTTTCGTCACGGACGTTACAGCTCCTGATTTACAGCCGGGCTGACGTCGGCGGAGTGGATGAAAGGAGCCCGTTATAATGATGTACGACCAAGTGTAGCTGCTGCGTAAGATGTAGAGTTGAGCCGGCGCTTCTACACCGTGGAACCGTGTCGCTGCTGACATCTCCATGAGAAATTTCAGTAGTCTTTGTGCTTCTCAGCGACATTTTGTACGTCAGTTCGAATTGTGACTGCTCATTTTAAATGTTTGGATGATGCAGTTTGCACACCTATGTGGTAGTGAGCCGGCCATTATCGAGGGGCTGAATATGCCACGTACTTTGTAGCAGAGAATCTGTATCATGGTGTACTTTAGCAAATTAGTTTTAAACCCTTATTGCTAATTGGGGTTACTGACTTTCCTATCGCCTATTGCTTCACAATCCACACACCAGTTCTAAACCAGTGCGCCATCACAAACATAGCCATTCACAGTGGTGATTCATTGTGTTACACGGCTGGCCGGAGAGGGCTGTAGCACCGCGTCCAATCGGGGCCTGTAGCAGCCCTCGCTGACGCTCTGACGTCTACCAATGAGGATCACGTTGCTCCCGGAGTCACCGTAGAACCACTTGACTGAAAACACTCTGTTGACTCCCCGGGGGGGGAGGATCTGCTTTTATGGGTGTTATGTTAACACGGCTTGCAGTAAATTGCAATATAACCGGTCGTGAGTAGCAGCTGCTAATCTGCCGCCCTCCGAGCAGCCTCTGCACCCCCCAATCACTGCATCTCATGCAAAACCCCCAGAATATTCAGTTCGCTATCACATTACACAAAAATCTACACAATTGAGAAGCTGGAGAAAGGAAATGTTTGCCATTTTGCTTGAAGAATGACAGACAGTTAAAGGAGCTATATACTGTATGAGATTTTGAACATAAATATAGCAGCAAACAACTATGAAGTGAAGCTTAGAGCATGCGAGTCCTTCCCTTTGCAACTGTTGGCCCTCGCCGTGTTTATGAAGAGACCAAGAGAGTGACCTCTCGCACAGCGTTGTAAAAGTGAGATGGCAGAGTGCAGTTCAAAGCGTTCAGCTGAAGGCGACGTTTCAGATTTTCCTCCACCGAAGAATATACGATTTTCAAAAGAAATGCACTGTAATCAAAGCCATCCCAAACATTCAATTTTAACCATCAAATTGGATGCTACCTGAAGCATATTTCAATGAAAGGCTCTGCACACACACACACAGGTGTTTTCACTTCTGGCTTCACCTGTGCTCGGGTCTAATCAGGCGAAAACGAGTTGACCACCTCGACTGTGGCTGTGTAAGGCCTCTAGAATGTAAAAGCGAGCTGGCAGAGTGCAGTTTAAAGCGTTCAGCTGAAGGCGACGTTGCAGATTTTCCTCCACAGAAGAATACATGGTTTTAGCCAGCTAGCATTAGCAGGACAGCTAACAAGCTAATAATTACGTTACATGGATTTAGCCGACGTGCCCAGTAGTTTGGTGTTAGATGGTTGGATACATATGGTGCTCTAGCCCTTGTGTTGTCCTGGGGTCATTTTTGACCCCAGGATAGCACAAAATGTTCTAAATAAATGAGACATCATATTTTTGGTTTAATATTGAATGACTTTTCCTAATTTAATGGGGACAACTGGGTAAACACAAACTCAACATGTTGATATGTAAAGTTTTATGTAAAGCCATTAAAACACCCAAAAAATATCTCTTTCCAATTTTAGGTCAATCGGTGAGATTTTATGGTGATCTGCATATTTCTCCATAGTTCCATAACAGGGATTCTGGATGTATACGGGTTTGGGTGTCGGGGGGGTTGTTTTATTTAAAGGGCTATTTAGGTAGTCAACAAAAAACTAAGTACCTGACACATAAACTTGGGTAGCAATTTTAATTACAATAATGCTCTGCAGGTTCAAATTGCTGGGGTCAAAAATGACCCCAGGATAACAGGTGTTAGTAAATTTGAAGGTAACAGGAGGGTTAAATGTTGCAGAAATGAATGTTGACATGTTTTATATGTCAGGTAATGACTTGGAATAAAGTTGACTAAGGAGTTGAAACACAGAGGTGGGTGATAATTTATACTGTATGCTTTATAAACAGTCAAACCTGACGGGGTCATTTTTGACCCCAGAGGACAACAGGTGTGATTATGTGCTGCCATTAGAAAAATTCAAATGATTCAAGAACAGCATCCTCACTAAACTTTGATGTGTACCTCTCTGTGATCAGTCAAATAGTAAAAAATAATATAAAGTCAAAATAATTCATTGTTTCATTGTATTTTCACTCAAAAACAGGGTATACTTTTATGTAAACAAGGTCTATTGGCCCTAAATTCCAAAATGAAGGGAACGATTTGTGGTAATGTGTTGGACTGAAGTAAGACTAAAGGTGTAAAACAGAATTGATTGACAATTTATACTGTATGCTTTAAAAACAGTCAAACCAGGTGGGGTCATTTTTGACCCCAGAGGACAACAGGTGTATGGCAGTCGGGAGGACAACACAAGGGCTAGTGCAACATGTGTATATGTAGAGCCTTTAATCAATTAACAAAGTAGCTACAGATTCATTTTGTCTGAGTTGACTTATTGATTTGGCCAATCGTTTCATCTCTGATTCAAATAGTTGCACAATGAAATGAACATCTGACTCATTAATATTACTGATTTTCAAGGTATGGAGAGATTAACCTTGCAAGTCAATGCTGCTTTTGTCTTCCTGTGTAGACAGAGCTTTGCAAAAGTGCATCTAATCAGTGTTTGGTATGTTCTTCTATGGTGTTATATAATATATATATACTGCATAAGTGTTTTTTTGTATGTTTGTAAAGTTAGATGGACTGGACGACTTACAGCAATGGCTTTCCTGTGTCCTGTGTGGTGTCTAGCTGGCCTCTATTACCCAGGCCGAGGAGAGGGCTCCCAGCCCCGCTGTTATCTCCTCCTGTGGAATGTGCCACAACAGCGCGGCTAAAATAAGAAGGCAACACTGCGGAAGCAGGTCAAGCCGAAGAGGGCTGGCGCTCGCCAACTAAATGTCAAGAGATAGTGCGGAGTGTGCTTGGACGGACCAAAGAAATGTGTTCACTCGACACACAGGGCTCCATTTATGAAAAGTATCTCCTAACTTTGTATAATTCTCTGTTGGAAGATTATATTTTGAAGGCAAGAAAGAGTCGCAAGAAACGATCTAAAAACAGTGCGTCATCGGTCACAATATGGACACTTCTGTCCTGGTTCATTTAGAAGTACACACAACTTTTTAACCTTTGAGTTAAATACTTCATTTCTCAGTCGTATGTTTGAATTACTTTAATAACAATCTCAGTTTGTTTCATTGATTCTTGTATTTGCATGCCGTCGGTTGAGTCCGCTTCACTGGCACACCGGTGTTGGATATGTAAGCGTGACAAAAAGTCAACTGGAAGTCTTGTGGTAGAGGTCTTGTAATGTGAACCATTTGGTGCTCGTCACTCATTGTCCGACATTTAGAAATATGTCGGCGCGGTGCCGTGAGTGTCGCATGTCATCCTGCGTAAAGGCCGCGATGCCTGAAGTGAAGGAGCATGTGAGGGCTGTCAAGTGACTGACAACCTGCAAGCCGACACCGTGGCAGGTCGAGCAGCGTGACGGGTATCTGACTGCTAGACTGCAGTTGAATGCGGCTGCTTATGTTGTAATCGGCTTAGTTATTGTGGAGGGACGCCAGGAACAGGAAGAAGGCGTCCTGCATGTTTCATTGTGATTCTTTTTCCAATACTGATACATTATTGATCACTTTCTAGAGCATTCATTGGGATGAGATGAGCTTTGGAGTGCCATCAAGGGATTTTTCGTTAATACAGAGTGATGCAGATGTCAATTCACAGCAGTATTACTGAGGAATATGCCATAAGGATAATTGTAGCCTTAAGTTAGCGGTTGAATATAATCAATTACTTCATTAATGCATTTTAATAAACTATTAAAAAAGGATAATTACATTAATATTGAGATATAATGTAAAACTAGATATAAGGGCAACCTCATAGATTTATTCCAATATTTTAGTGTTTTTAATTAATGTTTTGATGATGAATTATGTTATTGTGTCTTTTTGTTGTATTTCATTTTGTTATTTATTATTTCTCTTGAGGCTCTTTACCATTCTCATTTGAACGTAAAGACATGCAGCCTATTTGTCACACTAAATGTTTAATGAGGTCCAACCCAGAGGGACGAGTTCTCAGTTCTCATCCCACACAGGATCCAAGCCGCCTCTCACACAGCTAAAGAGAGCGTTTGCTAGTGCAGATGAATACAAACATTTAAACAAAAAAAAGAAGCAAGAGACAATACAAGTGAATGGATTAACAGGAATGAAAGGCTGTGCACACCCACACAGGTGTTTTCACTTCTGGCTAATTAGTCCTCTGCTCAGGTCTAATCAGGCCACATAAGTGAAAACACCTGTGTGGGTTGACGAGGCTTTTTAGGGACCTCTAGAATGTCAATGCCTTTTTTGAAATGAGCTTGTGATTCATAAAGGTGTGTAGATGTGTTGATATAATATGATATAATATATAATTAGTAACTGACACATCTACATGATGCATAATGTGTTCTTCATAAACTTCCTAAGATGTACAATTTATGCGTGGACAAAACGACAAACTCAGTAAATTGGGAAGGTAACCATGTTTGTTGAAGGCGCTTATTAAAGCAAACACGTGTTGCTACTTGTTATCTAAGTTGATATAATTTGGTAGCTGTCTTTCTAATGGTGGTTCATCCACGTCTGTCATCGACTGGGCTGAGACTTTATCTCTGGGATTTGTACCCAGGACTCTCTCGGTCCCTGATGATCAGATATGCATTCCTTGTCCGTTATAGCATGTGACAGCCTTGATGGTATCTGCAGCAGTCACGATTGTTGCACCTCAGCCTTGCCAACAAGGCCTATCGGCGACGTCAATCCGCGTGGCGTTTCAGTGTCAATGAAAACAAGTTTGGACCGACATTGAGAGGAACAAGTGATAAGTTTTGGTATCTATTGATCTATCTGCAGCCTCTGGACTCTCCACACCACCCACCACCCCAACCCAGGCTTGCAGCCAACCTGTGTTCACCCAGGAGGCCCAGCCGAGCGGGCCCAGCCCTGAACGCCTAGAGGCGAGCACCCGATCCCGCTCGATCTCCACGCCTCCAGGCACAGGACAGCGCCTCGGCCTTCCCTTTGCTAAACCCCCGATTGCTTCCTCGAGCCCTGTGCCATCCTACTCTACCTCGCAACAAGTGAGTCACACCGCAAGAACGTCTCATTTGCCATTTTAAAGAAAAAAATAACCTGGTTATTTGTTTGCCTCAGGTCAGTTCGGTCACTGCTTGTGAACGCCAATCAATAAATCATTGTGGCTTTGACTCGGTCAACTAGATTTAGTAGTGATTTGTTTTGCAATGTTGGAACGTAAATGTGTATTTGGTGTGTAGAGTTGTTTATGGAGCAGAGAGTTCACATCACAGGTACAAAATTAGTTTGAAGGTCACCGTCTGGCTTTAGAAGAGGGTGGCTTGAGTTAACAAGTACTAACTGAACTGTCCTGGGGCTTTGGAGTAGCATACCCATGTAAATTCCTAAAATAGCTGAAATATGAAGTGCTTTTACTCAAAAACAAGCCTGAATGTGTGACTAAATTTGCAGGTAAAATGCTGTTTTCTTTGCACTACTTCAGTATCACTTATACAAAGTCATATTTTATGAAAGTACCGACGAAAACAACACTGATCACAAGATGTGAAACTCCATGAGTCATGCGCTGCGTTACTCGGTGTCATAAGGGTTTACTTGGAGTGGTGAACGGAAAGCATGGATGATTCCAATCTCTTTAATTCGAGCTCTGACACTGGAGCATGCTGTGTGTCAGCAGGCCTGTGTTTGCACTATTTGCTCGGACGATATAAATATTAACTGTGCATTGAAGCAATATCTCAAACGGCATTAGATGGCGGACTAAGCGGGCGCACAATCGGCTGAGGGGTGGCTCAGTGTTTTGTCACAAGGATTTTATTTAGGATTCGCCACAGTCTGAGTCGGGACGTGATGCCAGATTTCCCACAGCTAGTTTGCCCATTTAATGAATAATTATCCGAAGGTCTGTCTCCACCTGTCAGCTGTGAGTGATTGTGCATTCTAGGTAGAGAGGGGCAAATCAATATTTCATCACCAATGTTGTATACTGTCTGTATTAACACTCAAGGACTCATGATTGTGGTTGGGGAGCGATGAGCCGGTGCCTGTCATCCTCTCTGTGACTTAGCCCTCCCCTCTCCGTCATTCATAAGGGGGAGGCTGACCAAATAATCGTCCTTTTGCTAAATCCAAGCACAAAAGCAATTCATTTAATGGATGTGTGCATGTCTGCTTCCCTGGCGTTCGCTGTAAGAACAAAGCAGACCAAGTGCACGCTGTGATGCAGCAGGGCACAGATTTATGAAAGTGCAGGAGTGTGTTTTTGGCGAGAGAAGCGCTGTGTCACCATTGCAGGGGCGACACAGGGGACTGTCTCGCATCCCAGAGCAGGTATGCAGGCTGTCTCCCACTGCTGCAGTGGCCTGTTGTGAATATGCTTGCAAATTGGGGACCAGGGGAAATCAGGCGGATTACAACTCGTACACTTTTCATAGGCCATGCAAATCTCTCAGCATGACACAGCACATTTTAATGCTTGCCTATGTTGCGCGCAAGATGCAAATAACACACTTTGCATGCCATTTTCTCCAGAGTTTTTTTTTTTTTTTTTTTTTTTTTTTTTTTTTTTGCGGAACTCTGCTACGTTGCTCGTTTTGTCAGAAGACATTAGCTCTGAAGATGTGACGAGGCATCCCCAGCTTCTTGCTGCTAAGCAACGTAAGGGATTTCCTAATATGGTGAAGCACCCAGGTTGCCCTGCATAGAGGGGTGTGTCCACAGCGCGTGGAGCTTCCTGCTTATTTTTTCTCCTCCACGCTGTCTGGGAAAGACTTTTCCTCCGGCGGGTGTTTGGTAGATTGCAACTAACAAAGAATTCAACTGACTGATTACAGTGGGATTAATTCTCGCGCGCCTGTGTGAACGCGGCTGTTTGGTCAGCGCGTAGACGTTGGCCCCCCCCCTACTGCAGCAAATAGATCAGGACTGTTCCACTCTGAGTTTTAAGGGGTGTGTGTAGTTTAATAATAATGATGATAACGTGCCATTAAAGTTGCAGCTCTACAGCACAATGTTTATGTCACGTAAACTGTCTATATTTAGCGGACTTGGAGGAGCTTTATGTAATCGGTGAAACGCCGGTGGCGCACGACAGTTTTTTTTTTTTTGTTTTTTTTGCGCGCGCGTGTGTGTGCGTGTGGTGGTTTTGGTGTTTCTGCGCACTCTGTGTGATCAGTCTGCTGGGGCCGCTGGGGGAAACACAGCAAAGTTTTGCCGTGTGTTGTGAGGACTCGCTGCGATCTTCACTGCACACTTCTGCCCCTTTCCTCTCACAGGTCTACGGTTTATTCGAAGGCATGCTGGAGAAACTTGAACTAGACGATGATGGTAAGTGTCCCACTGCGACGACCCGGTGCTCTCCTTTTACTACCTTTTTAACGCAGCGATGGAAGTAAAGGTGAGTCCGTCACATCAGGATGTCTCGGGTATTCCAGCTGTTTCTTAGAGAAAGGATAGTCTGATATCCGAGCCGTATGCATGCAGACCCAGCGAGTCAGCTGCTGTGAATTGTGTCACAAATTGGAGGGATTTCCTCTACAGGCGACTGACTTTACTACGTTGTTGTCATAACGCATCTGTTTATCTAAATAAATGTATATTTTTTTTGATGAGATCTTGATAGATGGGCACATACCTGTGGAGTACTGGAGAGACTGCTTGCTTTTAAAATAGATATGCAATAGGGCTCTGCATTTTATCAAGGTGAATAAAAGGTATTGCAGCACGTGAGGTTGAAACTAACGTTTAAAAAAATGGTTTTAGAATGTTTTTAATTGAGTAATCATTCAATCTGTAAAATATCTGAGAAAAGTAACAAACATGTCAGAGATATGACTTCAAAATGTTTATTTGTCAGATAATGTTTTTTTTTTTTTTTTAATGATTCAATATTTAGATTTCTCAGTGAACTAATAGAGAACTGTGTTTCGACACCATGTGTAATCTCAAACCGCATCATCAGTGAAGGACCGAAGTTCCCAAGTAGCGCAGTGTTTTTCCACTGTTTCTGGTCTTGTTGGTGCTTAAAGCGGATCTAAATTGTCAGTAAGAGGGAGCAGTAAAGTGGCTTTAAGTGGTCCAGACCCGTAATGGTTGTTTATGCTCCGAGTGCGCTTTGTTCTCAGGCTCTCATTATATATTCCCTGTGAGATTTATCCTTCCTCTAAAAGTATTTTCCTGCTTTTTGTCCTTCCAGCTGCTGAACCTGAGAGTGATATTTACATGCGCTTCATGAAATCCCACAAGTGCTATGACATCGTCCCCACGAGCTCCAAGCTGGTTGTGTTCGACACGGCACTCCAAGTCAGTACTGCCACAAAATGAAGTTCACTTTGCCTGCAGACAAACCTTTGATGACCGGAAAAAAAAGACGTTGGGCTAAAGTTAATGTTCAGTAAAAATGTGCTGGACTATTTGCCTCGGAGCGGTTTCTATGAGATGGTTGATGCAATTGTCATAAAGCGGTTAAACAGTAATCCTGTGGAGGCCTGGCCTCTTTGATGTGTAGATCTTCAACCACTAAATCCACCGAAGCTCGGACTTGAGAGTCCGTAACTAAAAGAAAAGTGAAAATGCTAAAACCAACACAAAGCCATCATGAGTTTAGAACGTACTTCACAAAACACATCACAAGTCTCTCTTCTATATGAGAATGTGACGGAAACAAAAATAAATGTCATCAGATGATGATGAAGTCGGAAAGCAAAGATTATTTTTGATGAGACATTCATTTGTCAACATTAAAAATATCAAGATGTCAAGAACCTGGTGAAGAATTCATAGAAAGTTCATAGAGTATAAAACACAAAGTGGTAAATCTTCAAATTGAAGAAGCTTGGACCGGTGAATATTTGCCCTTTTTGATTTTAACAACTGAATTGATCGATTATCAGAATTGCTGCTGCTAAGTTTTCCGTCCATCGACTAATCAATCGATGAAGTCATCACATATTGTTGTGAAGTATTGTGTGTGTGTGTGTATAAGGTAATTGGGTTTTTCTTTTCAACTTTTGCTTGACAGGTGAAGAAAGCGTTCTTTGCCTTGGTAGCCAACGGTGTGCGAGCTGCTCCACTATGGGACACAGAGAAGCAAAGCTTTGTGGGTAAGAACCCCCAAAACCCGTCACAAAATGAACTTGGCATTTGTTTTGCTGCTCAGATCTAAGTTAGGCATGTTTAACATTGAGTTTGAATTTTAAAGTCATTAAATCATAAATAAGGCATCCAAAGGCTTTACATGTTGCAAAGCTTTCAGTTAAATACCATCTCCAAAGAAAAGACGGAGCAACTGTGTGAAATTTGCAAGAAAAAATATGTTTAGATGCCTTTTATTCTTCTTACTTACTCTGTTGCTTTGACCCCAGCACCTTTTTAAGACTAAATATTTTTAGTCCACAGTTAAGTTGTAGAAAAAAGGCTAAATTGCTCCTTTTTTATTTTGTGATTTGTCTTGCTGTGCTGGTGCTCCATTGGACAGGCTGTGTATCAATGCTGCTGGTCATGTCATGTGGAGTGCGATGCTTTATATTGAGCAGAAGTCATTAGAGCTGCCATAAACCATTAAATACAGCAGCGACTCCTCTGTATTGATAAGTGCTCTAAGAAGTTGGAAATAATATTTACCCCCACACAAAAACCCAAATCACACCTGGCTAACAGAAACCACTTTCTATTAGTAATAGAATGATAAAAGCCAAACCAGCGCTTGGTCGGCTTTGTTGTGCTGTATTTTTATCCTGTGGAGAGTTTATTGCAAGTCAGCCTGTGATGAATAATAAATGCCAGGTCAGTGTGAGGATAGGGGGGGAGGGGGGGGATGTGTTGTTTGGACCCCGCCCTTGTAAGTGCTCTCTTCTACCCAATCGCACAATGCCTGCAGGCACGGTGCCGTATGTTGTTTACAGATCCAGTGTGTTTTCATTGCAGGAATGCTGACAATCACAGATTTCATCATCATACTACACCGATACTATAAGTCGCCAATGGTAAGTCTACTTGACATAATGTTTGCACGGAGGTTCCTCTTGTTTTTATTATACCAACATCTAATTCTTGTCTTTCAGGTGCAAATATATGAATTGGAGGAACATAAGCTCGAGACGTGGAGAGGTTAGCATCACGATCGTACCGCCATGTTTCTGTAAACATGCATAATGTAAGATTTTTTTTATTTGTGTTTTTACAAGCAGAATAGAAAATACTTTAAATATTTAATCTCTTGCTACAGAGGTTTACCTTCAAGCGACATTCAAACCTCTGGTCAACATATCGCCTGACGCAAGGTACGTAGTCTCACTGTGAATTATGAATCTCTCTCTTATTGCATATTTTTGTGTCCATGTGGGCCAATTAAATTTTTGAACTGTGCGATTTGTAACTGCTCATTGTGTTTGTTTGTACCGCAGCCTATTCGATGCAGTGTACACACTCATCAAAAACAAAATTCACCGCCTGCCTGTCATCGACCCCGTCACGGGGAATGCACTTTATATTCTCACACACAAGAGGATCCTCAAGTTCCTCCAGCTTTTTGTGAGTCCAACACAACCCCCCCCCCCCCCCCCCCCCCCCCCCCCCCCCCCCCCCCCCCCCCC